TTCAAAAATTTGATATTCAAATTTGGTTACCTACAGGGACAAAATGGAGACTGCCATTAACATAAATACATTTCGTATTGCATTTGATTGGTAGATCAGCAATAAATTCAAAATTAAAACTAATTAAACCTTTAATTTTTCTTAATTATTTATTTATCGCTTAATTCGGATAAAAATTTGTTTATTTGAACTCGTTCTTATTGATTATTTCCATCGAACAGCATAATCTATTGTGAATAGAAGATGATATAGCTAATGTTGGTATCGATATATTTGGTTGAGAATGCAAGTAGGTTTAACTTTTTTTTTGGTTTCCTAACGATAGGTAGCAGTATTTGAGAAATTAAATTAATGTTAACTAAGAGAAATATAAAGAAATGAGCGGAAAAAGTATCCAATAATTTAATCAATGCATTGAAGAAAAATTATAAACGATAATTAAATTAAGGAAATTTGGAAGAGAAAGAAATGAAATTAGTCTAATTTTGGCGAAATAGAAGATTTTATTTTACAAAAATTGATTGAAAATTTTGATTAAGATCTGATGTACAAAGGAAAAATACATAATTGATTAAAAGATATTTGCTAATTGAATAAATTTTCAGCAATGACATGTTTTAGGCTACGATAGAGGTAGATTTAGCAATAGCGCAATTTAAATTTCTATTGCTATTACTTGTAATTCATAAACATTGATGTTATGATCAACTGGTTTGGACACTTTATTTTTTTGCACAAAATTACAGTCCATTATTTGTTCACTTATTGCAATTTAATTTAGTAAATTAGACAGAACTATATAAAATTTGATGTTCGGGATAGTTTAACATTGGAATGAGTATTTTCTTAAATTTCTTTAATTTGGATATTTCAAAAATATGAGATTTAATATTGAAGTTTGTCTCAGCAGCTCTATATGCATAAGTGAATAAAGTAAAGCTAATTCAAGTCTAACTAACATTTGTCACAGACTTGAAATAGCTAACCTGTCATCTGTCCTTTACTGTGATAAGTGATAGGGAGTCATTGTTACAGTTATTTTGTATCTGTCATATTTTGGTACCAGTTTACCTATGGATCCTATCTATAAAATATTATATCCAATTGTTTTCATAGGGTGTAAATTACTTTCATATATATATACATCAGTGTACAATTTTAGAATTCAGCTATTGATTTTTGGAATTTATGACCAGGTAGCTATGCGGGAATATCTCTGGGAAAAACCGGAATTGTACAGTGTTTGTTAAACCGGGGCGATGTGTACTTTTCAATCAGAGAATTATTTATAATCGAAATAATGTCATTAAAAAATTCAGCTTTTATCCGGGCAATTGTAATCTGTATTTTAAGTTAACAAATAAATAAATAAATAAATAATAAATATAAATATAAATATATATATTTCGAACAGAAATTTAAGCCAAAAGTTTAACTATTGGTAACAAATTCGTGATTAAGGAATATCACTGCCGTTAGATGTATTATTCATCTTTACTGTCAAACAGTTACGAATCATATTGTATTGATTCTGCTGACTCTATTGGACATATCAGTCTATTAAAATCTCGATAACCTTAGAATTCATTAACTCTACTTGATTTCTTCAGATTGTTCCAATCAACTTTAAGCAAGCTAATCATTCAATTAATTCAAATCAAATTTAATTTTAACACTCATTTTTAAATCATATCGCAGCTGTTATTTTTGGATGAATACATTGGATGCATTTTGGCAAAATCATATCATTTTTTTCATTTCTGTTACTGTAAGTTTATGGATATCCATACATATATTTTGTGAGTATTTTGATTTTTTTAAAGATTTAATAAAATATTTGAACTTTTCAAAGATTTTGTCTGTTGAAGGCTAGAAAAATTATTTTAATTAAATTTTTTTTTGAGACATACTAAAATGCGACAGTATCATACGACAGTTTTGGGTTTCTTTTAGCGTCTTCTATATTTATGGTTGATGCAGGACATTTGATTCTTGAAGTATGCTTTGGTAATAGTTGATCTTTGATCTTGATTTTGATTTTACATTCCCAAAACTCGAGTAAATTATAAACTTTTGAACTACGAATTTGCTATTATTGAAATTAACACTTATAAAAATTTAAATCTAATTTCAGACATTATCGATGGTTTCAATAAATATTCTCCACTGTTGTTCAGTTTTTATATTTTCAAATGATAGATTGAATATCACCGTATTGTCAGATATTACCGTACTGTCAACTTTTCGATCCATCGATTGATTTTTTAGTAAGAGCATTAGTTACTGTTCATTTTTGGACTGCTTTGATGTTGACAGTATCCTCTCCTTCCAAGGTTACTACCTTTTTAACAAAAAATACCTTTTTCTTTTCTCCTGAAAAAAAGAAAAAAAAAGGTAAAAAAGATTGTCAAGGCAAAATTGCTATGACGGCATTAATTAACAGAAAGATCAAATCAAATAAATGTTGTAATTAATAAGTTTTAGTCTGTCAATCGGTTAAATTTTTAATTTCCTCTTTCATAGAACAAGTAAGGATTAGTAAACGAGATGACAAAAATGGATGGGTGACATTTTAGACTATTTGTGAGGCTACTAATAAATAACTATTGGCTGTCTGACGTAACCAGCGAATTATTGAGACGATAAAGTAAAAACTTTGCATTTTTAGTCGTCAACGTAATTTCCAAAATTCAAATGTATGACTGGTTATTTTATAAATTTGTGACATTTGGGTATTCAATATGTTTGTCCTTGAAGATAGACTTGTCATAATGCAATAAAATAAATTATGTCAAATTGAAGCATGACATAATTCTGTCTTTAAATAATATAAAAAAAGTAAGAAGAAAAATATATCCGTAAGGTGGGCAATTTTCTGATATAAGCTTAATTGATATTAACAAATATTAGCGATCTCCAGTAGGTAGTCATGTGATTATTTCAAAGATTTAATCAGAGTATGTATATGTTATGTGTTACAGAACAAATTAAAATTTATTTTAACAATTATTCTTCAGCTAATAACATAATTTAGAATTCAATGCTAACACAACAAATGCAACAATAAGATAAAAACATTATTAACACAATTATTGCTGTTACTGCCTTTATTTTCCCTTAAGCTTATTATTATTATTATTATTATTATTATTATTATTATTATTATTATTATTATTATTATTATTATTATTATTATTATTATTATTATTATTATTATTATTATTATTATTATTATTATTATTATTATTATTATTATTATTATTATTATTATTATTATTATTATTATTATTATTATTATTATTATTATTATTATTATTA